CAAGAGTGGGAGTTGACCTTCCAGGTCTGGGCTGCTCAGCTCACCTTCCTCAGGGGCTGAGCTCTCAGCTGAACTGTCTTTGTCTGAACTGCCTGAGGAGGCAGTTTTGTTGGCCTGTTTCTTCATCGTTCCTTTCTTCTCTATTTTTCTGGCTTTTCCTTTCTTCTTATTTTTATTGCTCCCAAATGTCCACTATAAGGAGAAAAGAAAAAAAAACTGAAATAGGAATAGGGACTTTACTGGGAAAAGCTGGAAGACTCAAGAGTTAAGAGTCTCTGCCATTCATCTTTGAATCCAAAACAAATACACTTCACATGAAAAAAAAATACAGATTTTTGAAAAGTTTTTCTTTTTCTTTTTTTTTTTTTGGAAACAGGGTGTCTCACTCTGTTGCCCAGGTTAGAATGCCGTGGCACAATCTTGGTTTACTGCAACCTGTTTTCCAGGCTTAAGCATTCCTTCCACGTCAGCCTCTGGAATAGTTGGGACTACATGTATGCGCCACCATGCCCAGTTAATTTGGTTTTTTTTTGTTGTAAAGATAGGGTTTCACTATGTCACCCAGGCTGGTCTTAAACTCCTGAGCTCAGGTATTCCTCCTATCTTGGCCTCCCAATGTGCTGGGAATACAGATGTGAGCCACTGTGCCCAGCCTAGATTTTTGTTTTTGAGACAAGGTCTCGCTCTGTAGCCCAGGCTAGAGTGCAGTGACACAATCTTAGGCTCATGGCAGCCTTGACCCCCAGGATCAAGCTATCCTCCTGCCTCAGCCTCCCAAGTAACTGGAACGATAGGCGTGTACCACCATATCCGACTAATCTTTGTATTTTTTGTCGAGATGGGGTTTCACCATGTTGCCCGGGCTGGTCTTAACTCCTGAGCTCAAGCAATCTGCCTGCCTTGGCCTCCCAAAGTGCTGGGATTGCAGGTGTGAGCCACTGTGCCTGGCCCCAGCCTACATTTTTGAAAACTTAGTTAAAACTTTAGAACTTCTGGTATGGAATGTCTTAGAAACAGGAGAAAAGTTACGTAATAAACATATAATTTAATTATTATTTTTTCTTTTTTTCCAGACAGGTTCTTGCTATGTTGCCTAGGTTGGCCTCAAACTCCTGGACTCAAGTGATCCTCTCACCTGAGCCTCCTGAGTAGATGGAACTACAGGCACGCATCACTGCACCCAGCTCATGTATGTTCTATCGCCAATAGAAAACAGAAAAGATAGCAATTTTATGGCAAGTCAAAAAACAGCTTCTGATGTTTTATGTGGCAGAGATGGCAGTAATTGTTAATGGTTGGTATGTCTAGGTTTCAGTACAGAGAATGGTTTAGTGCTGGAGTGGGTCTCAGGAAGGCAGGGAATGTAGCTTGTACCCAGGAGAAAACTGCAGGAAGCACCGCAAGAAAGGATGAAGGTCATTCTTTGGTATGAATGGCAGCACTGGCACTAACCCCAGAGAGGTAGAAAGTAATGTACATCATTAAATATATGTGCATATCCTTTTTAAAACATTGGCATGCATTATCCAGTAATATAACACTTAAACTAGATCATAAATAGGAAATCCCAGATATCTAAACGTAAGGAACTTGTAATTTATATCATCGAACAGGTAAGCAATACAGTTAACTACCTCAAGGCCAAAAAACCATCTTCAAGAACTTTAATTATAAGCTGAAAGACAACACAACCACTTTACAAATTTGCAAAGATTACTTAGTTACATTAAACCCTATCTCCTTTGATATTCTGTCAGCTTAAAATGCTTTTAGGTAAAAAATACTTTATTTGGAAACTTTATTCTAATTACCATAAGTAATAATCATGTTTTGATTATCATAGACTGAATATTAAGTCTGGTATTAACATAATATTTCTACATCTAATATTCAACAAAGGCACAAAGTCTGTTTCTTCTATAATAGAACGAGAAATTAACCAATTTCACAATAGATAAATAGAATAAGTAAATTCTTTTGGTCTTTTTTTTTTTTTTTTTGAGAGGGTGGGGTTGAGTAGAGGAGTAGTTCTGAAGATGTTTCCAAATTAGAAATTTTCCATATAAACTATTCTTAAGAACAACAGCCAGGCGCGGTGGCTCATGCCTGTAATCCCAGCACTTTGGGAGGCCAAGGCAGGTGGATCACTAGGTCAGGAGTTCAAGACCAGCCTGGTCAACATGGTGAAACCCCATCTCTACTCAAAACACAAAAATCAGCCAAGCGTGGTGACATGTGCCTGTAGTCCCAGCTACTTGGGAGGCTGAGGCAGGAGAACAGCTTGAATCTAGAAGGTGGAAGTTGTGGTGAGCCGAGATTGAGCCACTGCACTCCAGCCTGGGTGACAGAGCGAGACCTCGTCTCAAAAAAAAAAAAAAAAAAAAGGAACGACAGTCTGCTAGTTTACCTTAATAAAACATTGTAAAAGGGTGCTATTTTTAATCTTTTTGTTTGTTTGTTTCTGAGCCAGGGTCTCGTTCTGCCGCCCCAGCTGGAGTACAGAACAGCAGGATCATAGCTCACTGCAGCCTTGATCTCCCAGGTTCAAGTGATCCTCCTACCTCAGCCTCCCGAGTAGCTGGGATTACAGGTGTCCACCACCATGCCTGGCTACTTTTTGTATTTTTAGTAGAGACAGGGTTTCACCATGTTGGCCAAGCTGGTCTCGAACTCCTGACCTCAAGCAATCCACTAGCCTTGGCCTTCCAAAGTACTGGGATTACAGGCTTGCGCCACCACACCCAGCCTAATATACCAACTTTCCATGCTGACAGTGAAGATATTACTCAAGTAAATAATATATAAAACATCTTTTACACTGGCTCTTATATTACATAACTATACGCATAATAGATACTCAACATTTATTGGTTACTTTTGAAAATGGGCCTGACCTACCTTTTCCAAACAGTGTTTTGGTCCTTTCTACTTCTACCCAATGGAAATATAAAGAGGTTGAGAGCATAAAGGTTGGGCTATCAGGGAACAGGTGTGTCAGAGAGACTAGGTCTATTTTTGCCTACAGATTTGGGTTTCTCACGTGGAATAGAGTCAAATTCTGGATTCCTCAGGGGGAAAAAAAGTGTTTATGAGAGCAAAATGACCTAAATGTGAAGTCATACAGGTGAATCCAATTCAGGAGATGCTAGGAAGCTAAGGCTTTCTTAACCTTCCCCCGTCTAACTGCTTCAATCTGCCTCAGTCTAAGCTTAGCAACTGTCATTCATTCATAGCCTCTAATGTTCATTCTTTGTGGCGTAGTGAGAAAAGACAAGAATAAATTAGAAGAAAATAAAAGTGCTTTGAGTTAAAAGAGGCTTTCCTAACTAAACATGAATGTGAGAAGGGAACACCGTTTTTTTCTCCCAACAGCAAAGCTGCCTTATCTCTCATGAGGCTGACTCAGTCAGGTCTATCACACCAAAGGCAAAAACCCACCACCTCAGTATGTGACGAGGTTTTGAAGAAATTAAAATAATGTGGGTGAATTTACTTTTAAACATAAAATTTCTTTTTCTTTTCTTTTTTTTTTTTGAGACTGAGTTTTGTTCTTGTTGCCTAGGTTGAAGTAAAATGGCAAGACCTTGGCTCATCGCAACCTCCGCCTCTTGGGTTCAAGCGATTCTCCTGCTTCAGCCTCCTGAGTAGCTGGGATTACAGGCATGAGCTACCACGCCCAACTAATTTTGTATTTTTAGTAGAGCCAGGATTTCTCCATGTTGGTCAGGCTGGTATTGAACTCCAAACCTCAGGTGCTCTGCCTGCCTCGACCTCCCAAAGTGCTGGGATTACAGCTGTGAACCACTGTGCCCAGCCTAAAATGTCTTATATACATCTTAAATTACTAGGAAGTTGGACTGCAGCTACTTGTATATTTACTTCGCATTTTATTTCATTTTATTATTTTTGAGACTAGGTCTTGCTCTGTTGACCAGGTTGGAATGCAGGGGCATGATCATAGCTCACTGCAGCCTTGAACTATGGGGCTCATGAGATTCTCCCATTTCAGCCTCCTGAGCAGCTGAGACTACAGGCACATGCCACCGTATCTGGCTAATTTGTTAACTTTTTGTAGAGAGGAGGTCTCACTGTGGTGCCAAGGCTGGTCTCACACTGCTAAGCTCAAGCAATTCTCCTGCCTCAGCCTCCCAAAATTCTGGGATTACAGGCATAAGCCATTGTGCCCAGCCTGTATTTTATTTTTAACAAACCTTTAAAATCTAATTTTAATAATAATAAATATTCATTATATGAACCCCTAAAATACATAGAAAAGTATTTTGCCTTTTATTTTCTTTTCGTTTTTGCGATGAGGTCTCACTATATTGTCCAGGCTGGACTCAAATTCCTGGGCTCAAGTGATATTCCCACCTCAACCTCCTGAGTGCAGCTATTACTACAGAATCACACTACAGTGCACGACAAGAAAAGTATTTGTAAAGTTGAAAAAGAAAAAATTACCAGGCCATGTGTGATGGCTCATACCTGTAACCTCAGCACTTTGGGAGGTCAAGGTGGGAGGTCTGCTTGAACAGAGGAGTTGGAGACCAGCCTGGGAAACATAGCAAGATCCCATCTCTATTTAATAAAATATATTTTTTAATTAAAAAAAAAAAATCCCCCACTGCCATGACACGGACAAAAAAATTAAACTAGGCTGGGCACAGTGGATCACATCTGTAATCGTAGCACTTTGGGAGGCCAACAAGGGCTGATTGCTTGAGCTCAGGGGTTTGAGACTACCTGGGCAACATGACAAACCCCAGTCTCTACAAAAAATACAAAAATTAGCCAGCCATGGTGGTGAATCCTTACAGTCCCAGCTACTCGGGAGGCTGAGGCAGAAGGGCGGCTTGAGCCTAGGAGGTCCAGACTGCAGTGAGCCAAGGTCATGACACTGAACTCCAGCCTGGGCTACAGAATGAGAGCCTGTCTCAAATAAATAAATAAATAAATAAATGATTTTAATGTAATATAAAAATTATTTTAAAAAATCACCTGTGCTCACTTTAGCAGCATATATCTAAACACAGAATACAAAGAAGATTAGCACGGTTCCCGTGCAAAGATGACATGCAAATTTGTGAAACATTGCCTACTTTTTGTTTAGTTTTGTTTTTTGAGATGGAGTCTTACATTGTCACCCAGGCTGGAGTACAGTGGTGTGATCTAGGCTCACTACAATCTCCACCTCCTGGGTTCAAGCAATTCTCCTGCCTCAGCCTCCAGAGTAGCTGAGATTACAGGCACCTGCCACCATGCCCAGCTGATTTTTTTTATTTTGAGTAGAGACAGGGTTTCACCATATTGGTCAGGCTGGTCTCAAACTCCTGACCTCAGGTGATCCGCCCACCTTGGCCTCCCAAAGTGCTGGGATTACAGGTGTGAGCCACCACCCCTGGCCAACATCTCTTACTTTTTAAAAATTTATGTTTTAGTTTTTTTTAATCACCTATATTGTCACCACTCAAAGATAAATGATCACTTAAAATCTGGGAGCCAGTATCATTATTATTCTTATTTAATCCAGAGAAAGAGACTCAAATAGTTCCCAATAATCTCCCAAAGATTTTTTTTTCTTAGAGAATAGATCACATTTACTCCTGTAAACCAGAGATTTTTGAATGCTTTTTTGTCTAACCACATACTTAAAATATGTGCTCTGTACCTCTTCTCCCAAGAACAGAGTCTAAGCAGAACTGATATGGAAATATCTTAATCCAGCTATTAGTCCAGAGATGGCTGACCCATCCCTGTAAAAGTCTTATACACCTGATTCTGAGATAATGGGAAAATGAATTATTTCATCAGAATGTAGTAATAATTGGGGTCTAAAGAATAAAGGAGAGAACTAAAGAGATGCTCTCATTCTTTCCCCATCCAGGAGGAAGTTGAGGAAATGACCTGGCACTTCTTAATTTGTTTTGAGAACTATGGTTCTACTGAAAGGTAAGCTCTGTTATATATAACCTTCAAAATGCCCTCAAATGCACCAAACATAAGGCAAGAATGAGAAAAGAGGGCCCACTGGTCTGCATCTGAACTCCAAGTACAGAGGCCAGAGGACCTCCCAATGACCACCGCTGAAAAACCATCCAGGCAAAGGAAAGAATCCGTTGTTAGGACTCTCACACACACTGACGAAAGTATTTTGTAAATATGCAATGAAGAAAAGTTAAAAAGAGACTGGATGAAATATGTCTTATTACCTAATAATAGAGATTGGCAGTTTGACTCTCACTGATGTAACAGATATTCTAATGGGCAACAATTATGTAGTGAAACAAGGAAGGTGAGTACCATATTCCCCATGCCATGCTGAGTGTGTATAGAATGTAATAAGCAGGTCCCCATTATGTGAAGCAGCTATCCTTCGAGGCACTCAGCTGAAAGATGGGAAGAAACACAAGGTGGGGACTGGTTGCTCTGGAACTGGGTGCCATTGAGATGCTGAGTATTTTGAGCATGAGGAAGGCAGGGAAGTAAGAAAACTTCAAGATTTCAGAGAGAAAACTGTCTCTAATGGGCAAGGAATACCCATATTCCTAGGTCTCAGGTCCCAGCATAGAAACCATTCTAGCCTAGTGACCCTCAACAGAACTTATAAGTGAAATAAAATACCTTTAAGTAAGTAGGGTTCAAGAATAACAGCTGGGGCCGGGTGTGGTGGCTGATGCCTGTAATCCCAGCACTTTGGGAGACTGAGGTAGATGGATCACTTGAGGTCAGGAGTTCAAGACCAACCTGGACAACATGGTGAAACCCTGACTCTACCAAAATTACAAAAATTAGCTAGGCATGGTGGCAGGTGCTTGTAATCCCAGTTACTTGAGAGGCTGAGCAGGAGAACTGCTTGAACCTAGGAGGCAGAGGTTGCAGTGAGTTGAGATCATGCCACTGTACTCCAGCCTAGGCAACAGAGCGAGACTCCATCTCAAAAAAAAAAGTAACAGCTGGGTTAGTGACAAACTACACTGGAATAAGGTCAAAAGAACTGGGATAGAGCCCAATCCTCTAACAAGAGACTGTTTCCCTATCTATAAAGTAGGAATAATAAAACTGCCTTGATCACCTATCAGGGTAGTGTGAGATTAAAAGGAGACAGAGTAAGAAAAGTTTTAGAGCACCAGATACCAGGAAGCTCTACATAACTGCAAGGTACTATTTTATAAAAAGAAAATGAGAATTTCTGTTTGTTTACTCATCTGTAGAATAAAAAGTTCAGATGATCTCTAACACTTCGTAACATTACAGGTTTCCATATGAACTGAAAGTTATTCTGAGTCAAAGTAATTGTAAGGAAGGTTCTATAGTCATTATTCTAGATATTGACAATGGCCAGAAAAGAGATGTGTTTGAGAGGGCACAGTTCCTGATTTAGGTGTTTTTTCTGAAAATAAAAAAGTCAGAGGAAGACAAGTGCGGTGGCTCACACCTGTGCTAGGATCAGCACTTTGGGAGGCTAAGGTAGGCGGATCACTTGAGGTCAGCAGTTTGAGGCCTGGCACACACAGTGAAACCCCATCTCTACTAAAAATACAAAAAAATAGCTGAGAGTGATTGCATGCACCTGTAATCCCAGCTACTTGGGAGACTGAGGCACAAGAATTGCCTCCTACTTGGGAGGCAGAGGTTGCAGTGAGCTGGGACTGCATCACCGCACTCCAGCCTGGGTGACAGAGCAAGACTCTGTTTCAAAAAAAAAAAAAAAAAAAAAAAGAAAAGAAAAGAAAAAAGGGTCAGAGGTGTTGAAGAGTAAATGCAACTCTTTTTTATCCCAAGTGACAGGAGGCAGTATATGCAATTTAATGTGAGTCTGAAGACATGAAGAACAGCTTAGCTTTCTTTCCTTTCTACTATGTAATTAATCAAAGTACAAAAGACAATACTGTATTTCATCATCAAGCAATCATATACATTTAAGTAGAAAGCAAAGAAAATCCTTGCACTCAATCACAAAAACTTGTCTATTTATGAAGACAAGTGCACAAATGAAACGAAGTGACACCAATAATGCACAATATAATTAATACTACATTACGCTGTTAAGTAGGAAGTGTTCTAATTTCTTTTTCTTTCTTTTTTTTTTTTCAAAAGATGGGGTTTCACCATGATGGCCAGGCTGGTCTTGAACTCCTGACCTCAGGTTATCCACCCACCTTGGCCTCCCAAAGTGCTAGGATTACAGGCATGAGCCACCGCGCCTGGCCGGAATTTCTTGTAAATAAATTTGAGCAATTAACTAGTCTAGGAACATCACCTTATTATTCCAGATTCTTGGAATGAGATCTCAATGGTGTCTAGATACATGAAGCATTACTATCTGCTTGTGTATGTAGTGAAAAGGGAATAAGTATGTACGAAATAAAGTTCGTGAGCAATCTTAACAGCTGTCACTAAGTTCAAGTACTAAAGCGGGGTATTCCAACCTGACCTCTATGGCATTCCCTGGTTTCCTGACCCCACAACAGAGCACATGCAGTAAATTGGAAGTGTTACAGAAGAGATTACCAAGAAATGAGCCAAATGGTCACTTTTGACAGATAACAGAAGACAAAGGAAGCTATAAAAAGCAGTGCCACATGGCTTGATATTCCAAAAGACATTTTTTCACAGTACAAGAAATGTCATTTCTAGTCATGGCTTTAAATCAACAGAAAAACTACTACATAGGACATCTCTCCAGCCAGGCATGGCAGCTCACACCTATAATCCCAGCACTTTGGGAGGCCAAGGTGGGCATATCGCCTGAGCTCAGGAGTTCAGCACCAGCCTGGGTAACACAGTGAAATCCCATCTCTACTAAAAATACAAAAATTAGCTGGGCGTGGTGGTAGATGCCTGTAGTCCCAGCTACTCGGGAGGTTGAAGTAGGAGAATCACTTGAACTCGGGAGGCAAAGGTTGCAGTGAGCTAAGATTGCTCCACTGAACTCCAGCCTAGACGACAGAGCAAGACTCCGGCTCAAAAAAAGAAAAAAAAAAGTTAATAGGCCAGGCTTGGTGGCTCACACCTGTATTCCCAGCACTTTGGGAGGCCAAGGTAGGTGGATCACGAGGTCAGGAGTTCAAGACCAGCCTGGCCAACATAGTGAAACCCTGTCTCTACTAAAAATACAAAAATTAGCTGGGCATGGTGGCACACGCCTGTAGTCTCAGCTACTCAAGAGGCTGAGGCAGGAGAATCACTTGAACCTGGGAGGCGGAGGTTGCAGTGAGCCAAGATTGTGCCACTGCACTCCAGTCTGGGTGACAGAGCAAGACTCTGTCTCAAATAATAATATCTGTCAAGTATTTTTTTTAAATAGTGGTTTTATATTTTAAACTTTCAAGGGTTTAGTTTTGGTATTGGCATGATTCATCTATGTGGAATATCTTGTTCTAGACATGTTGTATGTAAGAAGACTTTTTTTTTTTTTTTTTTGAGATAGAGTCTCATTCTGTTGCCAGGCACCAGACTGGAGTGCAGTGGTGCAATCTCAGCTCACTGCAATCTCTGTACCCTGGGTTCAAGCAATTCTCCTGCCTCAGCCTCCAGAGCAGCTGGGACTACAGGCGCGTGCCACCACACCCAGCTAATTTTTTTTGTGTTTTTTAGTAGAGACAGAGTTTCCCCATGTTGACCAGGATGGTCTCGATCTCTTGACCTTGTGATCCACCTGCTTTGGCCTCTCAAAGTGCTGGGATTACAGGTGTGAGCCACTGCGCCTGACAAACTTTACTAAACCAACACACATGCAGGAAAATATTAGCTGAGCAATGAAGGTCTTTTATGGGAAGCATATGCTAATTATGTGTTATCTAAATGGAAAAGCAGTAACCAAATCAGAGACATGAACTAACAAATGGACTGTTTTGTTTTGGCTATTTTGGAGGCAGGGAAGGTGGCAGGAACAGGGTCTCACTCTGTCATCCAGATAGGAGTGCAGTGGCATGATTACTGCTCACTGCAACCTTGACCTCCAGGGCTTAGGTAATCCTCCCACCTCAGCCTCCTGAGTAGCTAGTACTACAGGTGCACACCACCACACCCGACTAGTTTTTGTATTTTTTAAAAATCTTTTTTATTTTTTCTATTATGGCACCTCTAGCTACAATACTTTT